TGTGTGTGTGTGTGTGTGTGTGTGTGTGTGTGTGTGTGTGTGTGTGTGTGTGTGTGTATTTCCTGCCATATGAGGACCATTTTCACACTACATACGTGGACCAACTGGTACAAATGGGGAGCTAAGCTAAGACCACGTTTGGGAAAATGACATTAGTGGGATGGGGGATGGGTTCAGGAGGGTCAGGTCACTGATCACCTGTGAGGTTTGTGTTAGAGTACGAGGTCGGGATTAGGCTTTAGAAATKATCGGTAAAGGAATGAAAATAAATACAAAGTCCCCATGAGGATAGAAAAACAAATGTTTGTGTGTCCGCTGAAGACTCTCCTCTCTCAGATTGTAATCTTTGGACTAAGATCTATGATTTTATAAACTCCTTGAGTCAACCATATTAAAGATGGCTGCCAGAAACAGATTCATGATCCTGTAGCGTTTTATAAAACTTTCACTCAGTAACTCACATCAGTCACTTTGTGATTTGAACTTTTGCAGTCAGCAGAAGTCTGACTGAAGCGTTGTTCTCTTGAGTCAGCTCCAGGTCACTTCATCACAGTCTCTGGTTACAAAAACAGTCACTTCCTRGAAGCTCATGTCTCAGGAAGCTTAAACTGAAGCTCAGTTTACTTCAGACTTCAGAGCAGGAGACCACAGTCCTGTTCACAGTCATACAACAGTTTTGGAGTTTGTCACTGGGCTGAGAGGACAAGTGGGTTTATGGGAAAAACTTATTGTAACATCATCTAATATCCTCCCAAACAAGCTGTACTACAGATCCTTTCAGTTTATTCTTTAAAAACTGCTGACTAAACTGATCACATTGTACTGCTTTGCTGTGAAACAAACTKATAGAAAATAGAAATACCCTGATAAAACTGTGATGCAGCTATGAGAAGGTAAATTTAGGCTATTTCAAACTGAAGCAGGACAAGAAGCAGTAATAAAATGAAAAAAAAAGTAAAACCCAGACTTTAATCTTTACTTTAATATTACTGCACTCCTAAAAATCCCAATCAGACCTGGCACCAACATCCATCCTGGRTGGTCCACCTGCATGCAGGTAGACTAAATACAGGTGTGAGCAATCTCCGTAAGCACAGATCTTCACTCAGAGGTGGTCTGAATAATGATTTCTGAAAGGCCCTGCATTGGATCTGCTGCAGTTACGTCCAAACTAGTGAATACACCAACAGTCCTTCAGACCTGAGGTGTTAGTTTTGCAGCCCGCCAAAGTATTTTATGGGGCCTTAGAGAGCTTCAGATGTATTAATGTATTAATAAACAAAAGCGTATGCTGCTTTAAAGCCAACATTGACCATAAACTGCATTTAACATTTAACATGTTGATTATTTTACTTGCTAAATGACTGAATCCCACCACTGGGAATTCACTGTATAAACACTCCATTTTGCTGTATTTTCTCTGGCTTTTTTGCTGCAGCCCAGTTGTACTGGGAAGTAGGCATTTCCCACTTACAAGTCCTAAGTTTAAACTGAAACCAGTGGGAGTTTCCTGTTGGAAAATGGAAGAGTTCAAAATGGCAGCCACTCATCACAACTCAACAGTGAGTAAATTTTTATCACACATTATTACATTTATAGTATTTCTGTGTTATTTATTTCACATTTAGTCAGTCGTAGACTTTTCAGTGTTTATAAGAAGATGCGTTAAAACACTGTTTCTATGTAGGAAATACCAGGTAGAGCTTAGTTATCATTTGTTAGCAGTGCTCAGGACTTTTAGTGAAAATTAGACATGAACCGTTGAGGTTATGGACAGACCAGCCCCAAAGTCTGCTGCTCCTCMACATTGAGAGGAGCCAGTTGAGGTGGTTTGGGCATCTGGTAAGGATGCCTCCTGGACACCTCCCTAGGGAGGTGCTTCAGGCATGTCCAACTAGGAGGAGACCCAGAGGAAGATCCAGGACACGCCGGAGAGACCGTGTCTCTCAGCTGGCCTGAGAACGCCTTGGTGTTCTCCCAGAAGAGCTGGAAGAGGTGGCTGGGGAAAGAGAGGTCTGGGCTTCACTGCTCAAGCTGCTGACCCCGCAACCCGACTTCGGATAAAACAGAAGATAATGGATGGATGGATGGATGGATGGATGGATGGATGGATGGATATGCATTGAGGTTAATTACAACTTGCCCTTTGATGTGAAAACATAGTTTCATGCCCCTGTTCCACAGGCTGAAAAGGAGAAATATCACAAAAATATGTTGTTGGTGCAGCTTAGAAATATGCTTTAAAATGATTTTAATCTGTACGGTTCTTTTTAAGGATAAACAGCAAAAAAATAGTCTCATTAGATACTTCAGTGATAATATTAAGCTATTATAGGTTTTATATTTGTTGGGTTTTTGAATACTTTCTTTTTAAAAAGAACTTATTATTTATCATTTACTTTTGAATAATCAGAGGCTGATGGAGCAGTTGTTTTATTCTTCTAGCAAAGAGCAGTTCTTA